ATACGAGGTTGATGCATTTGTGCATGTCGTACTAAGCAAGGTATAAAAACAGTTGCTTTATGAGGAATTAGTTCGTACCATTGAATATTTGACGCAATAGACAAGGTGTCGCAGAAACCGATGTTGCTATAACCAAGTTTTACTGTACATCTATATGTGAGAGTGGATTAGAAAGTTGATTTAATGAATTTATTTCCTTCAGATCATACATAAAACCAGTATATTACATATACAGGATTGTAGTCTACCCCAAAGTAATTTTTCTAGATAATCACCATGGACATTGAGACTTTCCACTGTCAGACCAGTTTATTGATGTCATTTTGGAAGAACTGTGTGCCCTTGTTACTTCCATTATCTCAGAATCTAGTTTGAATTCACAGATTGTAAGATATTTCTTCAGTGGCCCAAATGGTTTGTAGCCATTCAGGCAGAATTGCTACTGTACGGTTGATGATGCAGAACGCCCAACAAACTTTTGTGTTCAGTTCACTGTTCATGAAAGAAACTTTCTGATCCACCTTTGTATATTTCTTTTAGTAGGAATTTTGTTGAGAATGTGAGCAAATTAGCTTGTGTGGCACATTGTGATGGTTGTCAGATGAAAATAAAAAAAAACTAATAGTTTATTTATCTGTCCACATATTTAGTGTACATCTAGACATCTACAGCAGACAAACTAACATACCGATGGATTTACATTTACATAGGATTTGGAGTTCTCAGAGCAGTGGTTATGAAGGGTTTTATCTTCTGGGATATAACACAATGTAATCTGTTGAAAGTCACCTGATGTTTCAAAGGAATATATTGCCACAATCTTCAGGGCTAAAGATAAGCCAAGCAACCAGTTTTCTTGCTTGGCTTATTCCTCATCCCTGAGAATGGAGGCAACATGTTCCTCTGAAAAATCAGTTGACTTTCAACAGAATCATGACGCTATATCCCTGACGCTAAGCGGCCTCCGTAGTCTAGGGGTAACGTTCCCACCTCATGACTCAAGGTACGCGGGTTCAAACCTGGTGGAGGTCGTGGAATTTTTAAGGGCGGAAAAATTCAGGGAACAAGTCCTCCGGGAGGGACTTTAAGCCGTGGGTCCTGTGTCGTAGATTTATGGCATGTAAAAGAACCTCATGTCTCTAGGCGACCTCTGAGCAAAATTTGGCCAAAAGTTTCCCGCCCAAAAGAGTTTCCAATGCCTCTGGTAGATGGGGGAAGTATTAGGTACCACTGCCAGAGGAGGGGGGACCTCTCTGACAGAAAGGGACTAACTATTAGATACCACTGCCAGTAGAAGGTTGGAACCTCGCTGGCAGAAAGGGGCTGATAGTAAGCACCAGTACCGGTAGGGTATGGAGACGGTAGAAATTAAAAGGGGGATGCACAATAGATCAATACTGGTCGCGGTGCATGGGGAAACCCACCCCCTCAATACTGAATATCCCTGACACTAGATCCCTTCGATTGACATTTAATGTAGGAAGTCAAATTCCTGAATAGGTAATCTTTGACTTTGATGTTAGCAAAAGACTTCACTTGAGAACAGGAGATTAATTTGGGTTTTAATTTGTGTTATAGAGAAGGTTCAGTTAAATATCTGATGCATACACTTGTTAGATACTGTAACGTGTTTTGTCTCTGAAGACATTTTGGATATGTCACGCGACAAATAACTTCACACCGTCTTGGATTTTAGCGAATTTATTGCACATTCGTTCTTACAATTACACAATTCACAATTACACCACTACAGCCATCTGCAGTATCACAGTCGCTTCTGCACTGACAACACAGAAAACAGTTACGTGATAGCTACCACTGTTCCATAATTCCGTGTTTACAGGCGTTGGTGGAGAACGCTGCTGAGAGTTGTTTATTGCTGCATAGTAGCCGCGGTGTCCTCTGTTATGTCACTGTGGGAAGTGCTGTTATGTCACCGTGGGGAGGGGGGTGTTTACTGGCCTGTTACCATAGCAGCGGCCGCGGCTCCTATACTGTTACATCACTGTGGAGGGTGGTGTTTACCGAGCGTTGCGCCATCCGCATCACAATACATTAAATATTTAAGTGATATTGATCTGTAATTGGAAATTTTGTCTTCATAGAAATGTGCTAATTATTAATTAGACAACTCATTGTATTATTTTTTTCCCCACAAGTAACTTGTAAAAGCCATCCATTAAATGTTAAGAAATAATTTACAGTTTTTAATCTTAGATTTTATCTGATTATAGGCACTGTAATTGAAATATTTATTCTTTGTAAACTGTGACTTTTTTATATTAATTTCACATTATGCAGGTAATTTTTTTTCATCCACTTGCCTTCAAATTTAATTTGATAGTGGTATTATTGCACAAATCCTGTCAAAGAATGTTCAAGTGGAATAGTATCAATAAAGATTCTGAGAAGTTGGTAAGGAGCATGAGGAGGGTGAGTATTTTGATTTGATAAACCAGATTTTATTCATCAGAGTGAGAGTGTTAAACAACAAAGTGCTGAAGGTTTGTTCAACTGTGTTAGTTTGAACATTAGATCTGGTGGAAAGTGATGAATGAAAAGCTTACTGAGTTGTACTTTTCATGTACATTATTAAAGTGATTAAATCAAAGAAGGTGAGATGAACACAGTATGTAGCATATGATGGGAAGTAAGAAATACATATAGAATTTTGGACAGGCAGCATGAATGAAAGAGTCCATATGAAAGATCTGGGGGCTCCTGCCAATCTACATGACATCACATCCCAGAGAACAGGAATCTTCTTCCACACTATATGGTATCACATCACAAAACGGTACTGTTTGCAGTCATGGCTGTGAGAACATGAGATTCAACATTTTGCTCTTCTGAAGATTATAAGCATTCTGTTCTACTTAATTATTCTTGATTTAGTAACCTGATGAAAACAATAGGAGATGAATACAGAGTCTGGAATTCCTTGTTCTGCAATGTCCCGCATTGCCCTTTTTGTTCTTCTCGTTTAGCTGCAAATATTCTGATTCGTATTTTGTTCTCAAGCTTAAGTGGTTTCATCATTAAATATCCTTTGAATAAAAATGTATTAGAGCTGGACTAACTGGAACTGCTCAGTATAATGACTACTGCTGGCTGGATGTCTAGGTTTGATTCCTGACAGAGGCAGTGACTTTCCTTTCTCTACATCCAAACTGGCACTAGGGATCATTCTACCTCCAGTCTAGTACACATTAAGAGTGCATTTAAGCAGAATGTGAAGATGTTCACTGACGTCCATATAGTGGTGGGGTCTAGAGTCCATAGTACATTACCCCTATATTCTCTACATCCTACCATGGCATGGTACATAGACAGAAGAGAAGGAGAATTAATTGTTACTTGTATGTTACAGAGTCTGCAACTAGTACGCAGTCTCTTCTCATTATTCGATGCTGTGGAAATTTGGTGCCAGAAGCTTCCCCAGAAGTCCGTACTCAGTTGGTTGAAGAAATCTGGAAAACTTTGGAGAACATTGGTATTTGCAAATAGTATTCCTTTATATGATTTTCGTACATAATCTGCCGTGTTGTTTGTACACTTCTAAATGCCCGTAAAACTTAGTCCCACCTCACTAGCAATAAAAAAAAAAGACTGTAAATGCATGCCCTTAACAGAACATGCACACAGTACCTTGCAGATCAACATCCACTCATACATTGCAGACTGCACCTGTGTGCATATATGCAAGAGACAGAGAAAGCCATGAACATTAAGACTATGTTTGGAATTATTAGTATCATGGAACTTATAATGGATGCGTCACACACAGTTGTCACCTTCATCATGAATAAACTGTGCACCTCAATTTTTGATCTTCCTCTCTTCACTCCTCCCCCTCTCCCTCTAAAATGAAGTGGCCAGGATGTGTGAAAAAATAAGATGTGCCTTATTTTCTGCTGTTTTGGAAATTTAGATGGGATAATAGCAGCCATTTCCAAAATTTATTCTTCTCTTGACTATTTTGAATTATATAGTTTTTAAAAACTTTCCCCCTTTAGTTATTAGTTTTCACTTGGTATAATTCCTAAACTTTTAAGAAATGTGTGTCATAATGAACATACAGTGTCAAGGTTAAGAGCATCTGAGCACCTCCATCTCCACTTCTTCATAATGTTGTTCTTAAGCATAATGATTTCATTTATGTTGGGTCTGTAGAGGTTTGTGACAATGGTTTATTATATGAGTATTATGTTGGCCATGGTCATTTCTCAGATATGTTTCCTTTTTTTTTAAGTTGGGACTGTCAATATCAAGACTATATACTATCAGATTTTAGGATGATTAATGAGTGTGGAGCAGCTGGTTGAATGAGAATTGGAAGAGGAAGCTGAAGTACGCAGTGAAAACCTGTCACTTTGTTCACCGCAAATCCCACATGACCTGACTTGTTATGAACCCAGGCTCTGGCCTGTTACCTGCTGGCCCATCTCCCCAGACCCTTCCCCTCTCCTCTCTACTGATTTCCCATGTAGCCCCTCTCCCTTCTCTTCCTGCTCTTATACAGCTGGTTTTGTTTGACTTGACATTAGTTTGTCTTCACCTGCTCATGCTGGTTCCTTGCTCGCAGATTTTCTTTTTTCTTCTACCCTGAAGATGGAGGTGATGTGTGCCCCCGAAAGGTCGGTTAACATGGTATCTACACAGCGCCACATCCCAGAAGATGGCTTTCTTCATAGTCACAGCTGTGAAAACCTCAAATCTTACACAATTCATACCTTGTTTATATTGCAGGAGTGCCAATGGATGTTAGCCATTACAATGCGTTGCTTCGAGTCTACTTGGAAAATGAACATTCTTTCTCTCCTGCTGAGTTTCTGGCAAATTTGGAACATAAAGGCATTGAACCAAATAGAGTAACATATCAACGCCTGATATCACGATACTGCCAACAGGGTGACATAGAAGGAGCCACACGCATCCTTGAATTTATGAGAGAGAAGCAGCTGCCAGTCAATGAGAATGTGTTCAATGCTCTTATTATGGGGCACTCACAGGCAGAGTATGTCAGTAAATAAAATACCTTATATACTGTACACATTGCATCTCCTGTATGAACAATGGTACATCATACTTGTGTAGGAAATCTTTTGGAAGAAAAGTACTGTGCAAGTTTGTTTGAATTTCCTCTTGGTGAATGAATACCAAAACTATGCTGGACACAGAATCTAATAGCTTTCTAATCGTGACCTAACAACTTGTCTCACTGATGATTACATACCCTCATTTCGATAGTAGATAGAATATGCAGTGAAACTACAGTAGAACAATTAGGGCTTGCAAGCAGGTCATCATTTTGGCAACAAGAACCATTGGAATAGTCAGTTGCTTGATGTTATGTGTGTGGAAAACCATTGCATAAAACATGGGTCATTTTTTTGGCATGTTTGCCATAATAAGTGATCCCTAAGTACCCAATACTCTTGTCCCTTGACTGCTGTCCTGACTCCTGTGGACATAGGACTCCTTACTATCTTAGGGAGTGTTGCTCTTGAATATGGAAGTCTGAGTGGCCTGATTCTGTTTCTCCCCAAAACAGTTTTTCTGTTACATTCAGGTTTGGCCCATTTGAATTCTAATTTTACTGTAAGTCGTCAGCTCCCTTAAAGACACTTCTGTCAACTGTCCTGCAGTAAGTTGTATTTAGTGTCATCCTTCTCTTCTCTATAAAAATTACTTATTAGCTGCCTTACTAAGCATTCATCAGAACTGTTAACTTTGCTTTTCATTGTGGCTTTGTTTATGCCCTGAAATGGTTACACTGCACAGATTGCATAGAAAAGTGAAGAACATATGAAAGGAAATGAATAGTTCATTCCCATTTTTTTAATATATTCCTATGTTTTTTGGTTAAAGTGATACGGAAAGTGCATCTGGTATCATTGGAGTTATGCAGCAAGCGGGACTGGAGCCTAGTGCTGACACATACACTGCTCTGCTCTGTGGCTATGCTAAGAAAGGTGATATTGATGCCATCACCAAAACACTAGAACAGTGTGATGCTAAGGATATACAGCTCCTAGATAGAGACTATATGGACATCATATACTCTCTTGCAGTAAATGATCATCTTGAACATGTTGATAAAGTAAGTTCATTTTGCTCAGCTTGCACCAGGAGTAGATACATATGGGGCTCCAGAAACATCTTAATTTTACCTGTTAATACCCAGCATCCATTCAGCCACAGTGTCACAATGTTCTTCATACTTATATTTGTATACCCAACAGGAAACACTGATTCTTGCTATCCCCCTGTTATTGCATGATGTCACTATCAGTGGAGACCCACAGAGAACACCATTCCAAGCGGTACTTCCATTGGTTGTGTGGCTTGACCTATTCCATTGTTGCATCACTGTTTATTCTTCCATAACCTAGTAATGGCTGCATCTTCAATTCCCCATGTCAATTTTTTTTATTTTGAAACGAGATATCTGCAACCGAGTATATGGATCTTAGATATTATGACTTGAAGATGAGGGAAATATGTATAATTTCAGGAGTGAATTTGTTGCAGGCATGACCAAATCCAGTCACTTTGGTCACTAACTCACAGCTGATATACACATTATTTTCACTAGCAATAAAAAGATTTAAGTCAAGTTTTTCTGTAACATGATATTCTTTATATTAATTAAACTTTATTTTAAGTTGATAGACCGAATGCGGCAGTCAGCAGGATACAATCAGGATGCTGTAAATTTAATCTTGCGCCTTGTAAACTGTGGCCATGAAGATCTTGGTTATAAGATTCTTCTCACAATGCCTCGGCCATCGCGTTCTGGTGGAGAGCTAGGACTTGTGGGATCATTCTTTATCCGTCAACTTGTGAATGCTAATAGGGTAAGTAAAGAATAAGAAAATTAATTTGATCTTGCACCATGTAAACTGTGGCCATGAAGATCTTGGATATAAGATTCTTTTACAACACCTTGGTCTTCTCAGTCTGGTGGAGAACTAGGGTTTTGTGACTTTATTCTTTACCTATCAACTTGTGAACACTAACAGAGTAAGCAAGGAATAAAAAAATAATGGTATTGCTCATAAATATATCTGTGTAATGAGATCATAATGATGGTGTGTGGGTTTATAGGAACATATTACTCCCATAGATTGCTGCACATGCTGGTTGCATATAGTAGTTATTTTTGTGAAAAATGCATATTTAGAGTTCTTTCTAAAAATCTGTATTTTGTATTTTTTCAATTTTATATGCTACTGTAGCACTCTTAAACATAATTGGGCCCGAAGTGTGCAGAGCCCCTAATTCTACAGATTTCCTCAATTCTGTGTAAGTCTATATGCTCTTGTATGAGGGGTAGGCCTTCTCGGCCATTGCACCGCGACCTACAGTGGTCTATTGTGCTTCTGTATGCTCTTAGATCAGTATTCACGATTTCATGTTCAGTTCTGTGTGCGTATCACCCCAGTGGTGAAGTGAAACTTAATTTTTTAATGTTCCTTAGATCTGCACTAAGTGGTTAGTTGCTGGCTTCCCACCGTGGTGGCCTGGGTTCGATCCCAGGTCTGGTCAACAGGGATTTGTGGTGGACAAAGTGGCGCTGGGGCAGGTTTTCTCTGAGTACTTCGGTTTCCCCTGCCAATCTTCATTCCAGCAATTGCTTCACAATCACCCTCACCTGTCATCTGGGGCTGGTACAATAGGCCAGAAGTGGTCACACTACAAGGGACTTAGTCCCATCCCACTAGCAATAAAAAAAAAGGTTTCACAAAAATTAACACAAGATTAAAATGTTGAAGGATGAACCAACTGTTAAGAATTTATCAATCTATTTCCTGTTCTACATGGTGATAACTTTGTTAAATTTTTAGGAGCCACCTAAAATATTAAGGGGCTTAGAGCTGAATGTGTGCTGTTGTGGCTGGTACATGTTCATGGCAGCCAAAGGCTGTTGACTGCATACTGAGTAAACATTATATCAAGCTTAGACAAATTCCAATTGTATTATTTATCAGTGTCAGCAAGATTGGCCCTGCAAAGATGGAATGGGAAGGGGTAGCAGTGCTTCCTATTACCTGGCTCATAAGCATTGAGTCTTTTCAGTTATCTCGCTGGCAGACTACTTCTGCTATCATCATACAGTTTTTCAAGATATCTGACAATTTAATTGGTCTGAGGGGATAATTTGAGTAATGTTAATGCGATGTTGTGTGGTATGTAGATTCCATGTTTTTGGAGGAACCTATCAACCAAACTACACAGCACCACATCCCAGAAGACAGTAGTCATTGTAGTCACCATTGTGAGGACCTCAAGTCCTGCATGAGCAATATTAGATTCCTGGATGTATGAAGATACAAAATATTTTCCAAATGGTTCCAACTTGAGTCTAAACAGTCACAAAAATATTTGATTTATTACAAAGCTTAGTTAATGTGTAGCATCATTTTTGATCTGTTACAGATTTTAATCCTATGGACATGACACAAAACTTATGGCAAGGAAATTCAGTAGAATATCTCATTCCTGTGCAATTATAAATTCAGGAAAGTCAGTTAATTTGTGAAAGAGAGGGCAAAGGAAGTAGTTTAGATCACCCAGTCACACTTTTTAAGGGATTTCCTTGTAGAATAAAGATCTGAGACTCTGTACACATCAGAATCCACGAGTTACTGCCCAGAAAAACAGAAAATAGAAATTACTATACGCCTTGAAGCTCATAAGAGTAAGTTGGAAGAACAAATGTAAAACGAAATAAATGTTTGTTCTCAAGAGATCATTCCAGAAATATTATGTGCTGTTGCTGAATTTCCAATATTAGCAACAGTGTGCCTAAAAGTATGTAGCCAAGCTGAATGAACAACTGAAATATGGTATTTAATGATTGTACACGAAATACTGTTTTAAACAGTTATCATTTGATTGTTTATAAAGTATTGTCACGTGTTGGGTATATGTCACATGACAAGTGACTTCATGCCTTATATGATATAATGAATTTATTGAACATTCGCTCTTACAATTACACAATTTACAGTCTCACAATTACTGCCCTTGGCAGTATCACTAATACATCTCCTGTAGTCACTGCCATGCACTCAGTACAACCCGACTCGGCGACTGTTACAATTCAACTGACTGGGTAATCGTTACTCACTAGTAACTGGCTCAATCCTCACTCACTAATCACTCACTACTGAATAGTGTTCGCTGCTCCTTATTTAGCCTCGGCACGGACAACACAGAAAACAGTTATGTGACAGGTACCGCTGTTGCCTGACGCTGTGTTTACAGGTGTTGCTAGCAACACTGTCAAGAGCTGTTTACTGCTGTGTAGTAACTAGCGAGCTTCGGCTCGGCTCACTTCAGCTCTACTCGGCACGTCACCGCAGGGGAGGAGCGCCCACCGAGCGTTGCGTGATAATGGAAAGGGTGGGGGTATGTGATGTCACTCATGAGACCGCAGAGTTCATGTGACCCCTACTTCCCATTGCTCCATCCACGTCACAGTATAGTACAGTGAAATCCATGTTTAAGGTTTTCATGGGGAGCACTGGAACACTAAACTGAAGGTAATATTAAATGGAGGAAATATAATGCCGAGATTTTTGACTGTTTGTCATTGGAATTTGATGTTAAATGATGGAAAAACCATAATTTGAGGAACATTATATGGCATTCAACTATTGGTTTTAATTGACATCATGTGTTTTGAAACGTAGCATGTAATCTCAGTGTGCCATGCCAGAAAGTGGCAACAAGCAAGAACAGGGTTGCTGTAGGAAACGACCTGTTGTATTTCGATTTGAAGTACAGTATCTGCACCTTCACATTATGTATTTCCCTACACAGTAAGTAAAAGCACAAGGTCAATCCTTGCTTTAGCATGCAATATAAGTTTTGGTAGTGGGAGCTAAAATCATTACACACTATCTTATATGTGTTAACCTTTGTTCTGTTATGAACTCTTTGATTTTATTTCAGCATGAAACAAAATCTTGTAAATACCATTTTCCCAGTACATGCTCTATGCCTGCTGCAAGCAAAATATAGCAGTCTTGAAAGGAGAGGCATCAGCATGAGATATTAACTCATCTGAATGAGAGGGCCCCCAAGAATTTCCCAGCTCTGAGTATGTATTGCAGTTCTGTCAGGCATTGAGTATTTTGTATTAATTTCAGCCGGTTGAGAAAATCATATCCATATGTCAAAAATTGGAGGAAGAGAATTTAAACCCTAGAGCAATCTTTATAGCAGCAGAAAGCAGTCTCCAGTCGGGGAATATTGATCAGGCTTGTGCCCTTTTGCATGTAATGAAAGAGAAGAACCTTCCTCTCAGGCAGCACTACTTCTGGCCTCTCCTTGCCAGCCATCGCAATGACAGGGACAGTAAGTATCAGGTACTGCTTTCATACTTGACACTACCTTGGAAATACCAGTAAAGGATTTAACATTCTATATTAAGAAAAAGTAAGAATTTTTGGGAGGAATTTATAATTCCTGCTAGTACAGATTCTGACTGCTTTAGATATAAATTTATAAATTTCAGATATAAATACACATAATGATCTAAATAAGAGTGCCGTCCAATGAAACATACATATATGAGATAGTTCATTTTACTATCTTTACATGTTTGGGCCCATATGGATTATTTTCAGAAGGCAGACATTAGAAGGAATTGCTTTAAAACGGTAATATGAAAGGGTTTTGTCTGTTATTACAAAATTATATGTTGTTATGAAATTTGATGTATGACAAAAATGTTATACTTATGTACACAGACATGAAAGATGTTATGTTTGTTAACACATAAAGATATTACATTCTGAATTTGTACATATATTTATATTTGTTGCCACACAGAATTTCACATGTCTAGCTCCAGTAGTTCATTTGTTATCACTATAAAACCATAAGCTGAAGGCACATTTTGTGCAAGTGCCATGTTGTTTTAAATTTGAATTCGAATTTATTTATGTTTTGTAAATCCAAGTACAGGATGACATCGTAGGGTATGGAACATGTCAAGTACAAACACATAATATCTATACAACAACAGTTTTGCTTAAAAAGTTAATATTATACAGTATTAATAATACCATGCTAACTGGATACATACAGCACAGTCTGCAAATAAGCAAAATGATACAGTAACATGCTTGAGAATACACTTCAGCTCTGATACTAGTTACTGTTTACATTGAAATATTCATCTATGGTGTAGAAGGAGTAAGTAAGTAACATTTCAATGCTGTTTTAAAATGGATAGTATTAGTAGTTGCTTGTGTGAGACTTTGAGAGAGACTGTTGAAAACTTTGCTGCAGAAGGAGAGAACTCCATTTTGATATAGAAATAGATTTGCCCGAACACGAAATGTTGGTTTTATAAAAAACTGGCTTTATTGGTCCAGTGGATTTCATTGCTGTTCAGTATACAGTAACTACCAACAGTCTACAGAGCAAAAGTGGATTTCTTTTCCAAGGTAACATAGTCAAAGCCAATTTTATATGAGAAAGTATGTGCATGGGAGTACGATGAGACAGTACATCAGCTATTCATAGACTTCAAGAAAGCCTACGATTCAGTTAGGAGGGAAGTCTTGTACAATATTCTGATGGAGTTTGGGATACCCTTGAAACTAGTTAGGTTGATTAAAATGTGTTTAAGCGAAATGTATAGTAAAGTCTGTGTAGGTAAACATTTGTCTGATAAATTTCCTATCCAAAATGGTCTAAAACAAGGAGATGCTTTATCGCCACTCCTTTTCAACTTTGCCTTAGAATATGCAACCAGGGAAACCAGGTGGGACTGAAACTAAACGGGACACATCAGCTGTTGGTCTACGCCGATGATGTGAATCTACTGGGTGATAATGTAGATACCATAAAGAAAAACACACAAACTTTAATTGATGCAATTAATGAGGTTGGCCTAGAAGTAAACACAGAGAAAACCAAGTATATGTTACTGTCTCGTCACCAAAATGCAGGGCAAAATCATGACATAAAGATAGGAAACAGATGTTTTGAAAATGTGGCACAGTTCAGATATTTGGGAACAACGATAACAGACGGAAACCTGATTCAGGAGGGAATTAAGAGGCGATTGAACTCGGGTAATGCTTGCTACCATTCAGTCCAGAACCTTTTGTCTTCTCATCTATTGTCCAAAAAACATAAAAACCAGAATATACAAAACTATAATTTTGCCTGTGGTTCTGTATGGGTGTGAAAGTTGGTGTCTGACATTAAGGGAGGAACATAGACTGAGGGTGTTTGAGAACAGGGTATTGACGAGAATATTTGGACCAAAGAGAGATGAAGTCACAGGAGGTTGGAGAAAACTGCATAATGAGGAGCTTCATAACTTGTACTCTTCTCCAAGTATAATTAGAACAGGGGTCGGGGAACTTTTTTACTTATTACCCCAAAATATATTTATTTACGCTGACGTTACCCCCTTGATTTGAAAGAGAGAAAATCATAGATTATTCAAATTCAAAAGGTTTATTGAATCTATTTATATGGAGAATACAATTATAAATATAAAAAGTATAAAATAAATGCGATAAAATACGAGTAAATTAATATCCTCATTATGAAACAAAAGGATTTCTTAGAAATTTTTTTTCACTTCAGGTTTTGGAGAAATGATGTTTCATTTTTAATACAATAACATCAAAATTGGGACAATTTGATGTCAGAGCAATTTGCATACTGTCTTCGGGGTCCAGTCNTACAACCCAACTGACATTATGTGACTCAAGATCTGGAAAGTAATCATCGAACCGCTTTTTGAGTTTGGTAAGATGCCTTATAACTGTGTCCTTGATGTTGTCAAAAGTAATATTTTCACAATCTTCCAAAAACAAAGCCAACCTTGAAAAGGCATCAATCTTGTTTTGTACTGCTTTCTGTCTCCAATATACTCGTAAAAGCGTTGATCCAAACGCTATCGTCCACAACATGCTGGGTGCGTTTATCTATAGTTTAGTGATTTAGTTTAGTGATGACGTCACGCTGCCATGATGGACTCTTTAAGCAATTTCCATAGCAGCCGTTATTACGGATGGTTATATGCCGGAAGAAAAATTTCTGTCATAACAAGGAACGCGTTTTTTATACAATTTCATTTATGTGTATTGAGTCATCATTACCCCCAAGAATTTCATTTTTACCCCACTTGGGGTAATTTACCCTGGTTCGCCGACCACTGAATTAGAATGATCAAGTTAAAGGGGAATGAGGTGGGCAGGGCATGTAGCATGAATGGGGGAGACGAATGCATATAGGATATTGGTGGGAAAGCCAGAAGGAAAGAGACCACTGGGAAGACCAAGGCATAGGTGAGTGGACAATATTAGAATGGATCTTAGAGAGATAGGATGGGATGGTATGGATTGGATAGATCTGGCTCAGGATAGGGACCAGTGGAGGGCTCTTGTGAACACGGTGATGAACCTTCGAGTTCCATAAAATGCTGGGAAATTCTTGAGTAGCTGCAGAATTGGCGGCTCCTCAAGAAGGGCTCAGCTCCATGAGTAAGTAAGTAAGTAATTTGATCCTTTTACACATAAATTTGATTTTGTGTCAATTTTTACTTTACTCCTTTTGAATGGTTGCAGTTGTGCTGGATATAGTGTCCCGCATGTGTACGCAGTTCAACGTAATTGTTGGAGGAGAAACATTAAGAGACTATGTTATTCCCAGCTTGGAAAAGACTTCATCTGATGAAATAATATGGGATCTTAGAAATGCTGGAATTACCATAGCAGCAGCTGCAAGTGCTCTTGTACATTATCGTCTTAATATGAACTTGATAGCAGAAGCTGCCAGAATTGGTAAGGCAGGCAATAACTTCTATCTCGTCCAATTTATCATTGTGTCCTGATTTTGTTTTCTCTTTTCCCCAATTTGTCTTAGGCTAATTGTGGACAGTTTTTGCTTTCAAATAAATGTAATATGGGAAAGTGCTGTGATTGTGAACAAAATTTATCTCAAAATGTTGATGGATTTACACATTGTGAACCTTATTGAAGTGGGTTTTGAATGCCATTTGTCTCTTTGCATATCTGTATTGATGTGAGCCTCATTGGAACCTGAATAATTGGACAGATTTTCTTCATATTTGGTGTTTACAAGTTTATTAGTCATAGGTTTTTGCCTGGTGAATATGAATGTTCTAGCTATAAAGAATAAGGGCCCTTCAGATTAGGCCCAAAATACAAAATGATGATTTTCTCTTAAATGGCTGTAATGATTTTTGTTAAATTAGTAGTTTATGGTGACCATTTCCCTAGATAAAGCTGTGTAGGTGGTATCTTGAAGTATATAATGGTAAGTGCTCTAGTGGCCCAAATATATAAATTATCATATTTGTCAGATCCAGCTCTGCTTGTTGGATGAATTTCATTGCCATTTGTTATTCAGTAACCAGCAATGGTCTACCAAGTGGCGGTTTTGTTTCCAAGGTAACATAGCCAAGGTCAATATATGAAAAGCTATGTGCGAATGTCATTGAATTGACATTTTTAATCAGAGTCTCTGTGGGACTCTGTATTTGGATATGACTACAGGCCAGTGAGCCTAAAGAGAAAAATATTTATTATTCAGAGGTGATCAGTTAATTGCACATTAAAACATTAATTCATGGATATAATGAATGACTATCAGTTTATGTTTTATTCTGTTTTCATTTCAATTTTTTGGACAGCAACTCGGTACCGGGCCTACTACTCAGCATCATTATTAAGAAGACCTCTGGTGCAGGCATATAATCATACTAAAGACAGAGATTCATTTGTTGCCATTTTGCGCCAAATTCATGACAGCGTTGACAGAGCAGTGCTTGCAGATGAGGACTCAGCTGTAGTAGTGCCAGAACGTACAGAAATAGTTGGAAATTTTATTCTGGATATTGCAAATGTTGGTCAGAACAGAGTGGCGCAGATTGAAGCAATATTGCAGGTAAAATTTGTTGCAATTAAGCCATGTAATACATGGGCCAGTGACATTATTGATTGAACTTTTAATGGGAGAAGAATTTTAATCAAGGAACGTTAAATGGGGGTTTCATTGTATTGTCATGTATTTAGGGTTGTGACTATTAGACAGGGTTTGGATTGGATTTATTGCACTTATACATGCAACTCATAACTACAGGTAGTACAGCTCTGTTGCTGTTGATCTACACACTTTACAGTTTATCATTACACACACACTAGGGTTCTCAGTTGTCACTATTTGTATCCTGGCTACATAGTTCAGCACAGTAATTATACTAGTTTCATTGTAACTGCAGCATACATGAATTTTTTTTTTTTTTGCACAGCCACTGGGATTCAGTTCCAAACATAAATATTTCTGTTTGCCATAACTTCCAAACATTCTGCAGCCCACCCAGTCTCCTATTCTTTTGGTATCAGAGACTTTCTATACGAGCAAAAGTGCTCCAGCATGAAGCCGAACATTCACCATCATGTCATTCCAAAATTAAGAATGCATAGAGCTACATTTGTATTGTGTTGTGGTTGTTAAGCACTGTGAGAACTTTACCTTTTACTTGTATTTATTATATAAAGTATTGGGAAGGTTTTTTCAGGTTTGAACACTTCCATCATGCATCATAGTATTATTTTCCAGGGCTTGGTAGAACAGGGACTTTGTTTGAGTAACAGTTCTGCAGAGCGTCTACAAGAGAAGCTTGGAGAAGAATTAACTAGCCAAATATCAAACCTCCTAGGGAAATTGACATCCGGAGAACTTGTTCCCACCACATTGACGAGACCTTCAGCACTACCTCCTGTTGCTGTAGTGAGTAAACCAAATGTGAAATAACAGGGAGAAGACATATTAAGAATATCATAGTTTTTAAACTATGTCCATGTTACAGAATGTTCTCCTATAAATTATAGCTATGCACCTAGTTACAGATTTTTAGTGGCCTGTCCAAGAGGAACCCCACTTTGTGTGTTCCATTTATGCATGTGGTGCTAGTAGGTTAGCCTTTTCTGGGTATTTATGTTTTAGGTGAGATTTTATTACATTAGTAAGGTTGGGTCTTTTTAATTTGACCCATCCTTGGCTCAAGAGGTCATCTTCCAGTTGTGTGTAATGTGCACACACTTCCCAAGATGGACAAACAAAGTATAGTAAAATACAGATCCTCATGTCTAGCACTGGCAGGCATGACAGGATAAGAAACAAATCACAGGACAAACAGGTTAAGGCAGACCTACACTAACATATGTAGGGGGAGCCACTACTCTGCAAATGAGTAGGCATGAGTGTGTGTAATGCAAATGTAATGTAACTTGAATATATAAGAAAATACAGAAGTATTACTGATAAGAAAAGAACATAAAACATCAACAAAATAACTCAAAACTGGAAATATGAAAAGTGTATCGATATCAGTTAAACAGAAACATGTGGTGTACATGGCTGAAGTCACTTGCAAAATGGTATATCGTTAACTTGACTGCTTCAACAGAATCTGCTCATGCTGGTGTTATTTGCACAATGTTAAACAGAATGAGTACATGAACTTTAAATACAAAAGGGAATTGAATTTTCAACGTGCCTAATGCAAGAGGATATACAAAACACAATACAGGCTTGCTACTGGCCTCAAATGTGTTCCACAGCCATAAGGGCTGACATACAAAACTTCCATGACAGGCGGTCAGGAATAATTCAAACAAAACTACATGTACCTTGTCACAAATGACTTACTTACAGGAATGCCATATACAAATGTACACACACACACACACACACACACACAGGCAAGGGCTGTACCCATCAGAATTCTCAGTAGACTGGAAGCAGAATTTAAATAAAATCAACATGCCATACAAGAAAACATTATTTTGAAGACAGAACAAGGCACACAGCAGATCACTAGTGTCTCGCACAGAAGAGGGAGACCTCATATCACAACAAGAGCAGGTCAAGGTGAAAGGAGACAAGAAAGTCTGTGATTGGTCTGGAAGGAGTCATGCGATGAGATAGGAAACAAGGATACCACTTGGAAAAAAGCATGGAAATGACTTGGTACATGGTTGAAGCTACCAGAGGTGCAGCAACCAACAGTGAACCAAAGAGATCAGTTTAATNGTGTGAGTGTAACAGGATGCTGAAATATAATATTGTAGATCAGTTTAAATTGTATTACATTTTGCCATGTTGGGAGGAACAGAGGGGTTTATTTTGTGACATTGTCACTATCTCAAACTATGCAGGATTGAATGCTAGAACAATTAATGAGTAATAAATTGGAAAGTATATTTAGGAAAGCAGTCATGGCCTAACTTGAGGAGCTATCATATCATTTTCCTGGAGAAACTGATAAAAACGTTGAAAACATCAACTCAGGATGGTTAGAATCTTAGCAGAGACTCAAACTGGACACCTCCTGAATACGAGTCAGAAACTTTACTGCTTGAATGAGCTTGTTTGGTGCAGAGGGTTAGGATTTGTTTATTCCTGTTATGCTGACAGTATTGTAGTAAGAAGAAAGCAGTCTTCTGGGATTTGGCACCGTGTATATGTGGTGTTAACCGACGTTTCGGAGGAACGTATCGCCCCCATCTTCAGGGTAGAAGAAAAAGTATAAGAAATCTGCAAGCGACAACACCGTGAGAAACNCGTGAAAGCCTCAAATCTTACACAGTATTGTAGTACATTCATAAAAGGGAAACGTAGCACAAGACAACAGGAAGAACAACCCATTACTTCCAATGCACATGCGCATAGAGGGGACCATATATTAAAAAAAGTAATAGCAGAAGCACAGCAGTTTCCTTGACTGTAACTTTAAGCACTTGATGATGACTATATTGGTCAAAACACAGTGAAAAGCTTTTAAAAGTTAGAAGTTATGTAATTTGTAAAACTTTTAAAGTGAATAACATTTAATCAGTTTTATAGAAAGATGTGTTGCATGTGAACCAATAACATTTGATACTGAGTGATGTGCAGCAGGATGCTACAATTTAATATTTATGGTTGAAGCTGTGGAGGCATTCTATGTCATGCATTGGCAGTGTCAACAAAATGTTCTACACTAAATCCTCAAAGTGATAGCAGCAGGTATAAAATTTGAAGTGAGCGGACAGGGATAAGATATACTGTATTACTTCAAATATGAGATGCATATTTCTCACATTTTTCCCATTGAAATTGATGAGGTGCATCTTAAATCTGAGGAATTATTCACCAGTTTGCGAACTGTCCTCGAGTTAGCCTTGAGCAATCAGCTGAGTTTTATTCAAGTTTAAATGATACTTCACTTCTTTAGAAATGGCAGGATCCTTTTAATTTAATTACATTAGGAAAAACCAGGGGCACGTGGTAGCGTAGTTGGTTGAGGCACTATGCTACAAGCCAGAAGGTCATGGGTTCAAGTCCCGATGAGGTCATGGTATTTTTTTTTTTCAAGTTGACCTAAGCCTTCCAGCCGCACTATGGCCCTGGGGCCGACTCAGCCTTTAACAAATGAGTACCAGGAATTAATTAAATAATTTTCCTGGGGAGTAAAGCGTGTCCGCTGCATAAGGCTGACAACCTTACCGCTATCTTTGAGCCGATTGTCTAGATAATGTGGGACCCTCAACATCTCACAATCCTATGGGCCTTCACGGCCTGTTAGAGGGATAGCTTTACTTTTTACTTAGAAAAAACCAGGGGTTAAATAAAAAGTAATGAAACTGCTTTTGTATAACCATTTAATTATATTGTGACATGTTGCGCAATGGAGAACCCCTCCTTACTCAGCAGCACCGTGGCAACTCAGGCCACAGTGACGTGGCGGATGAGTCAGCGCTCCCCTCCCCCCCTCCGCACGGTAATGTAACGCGCAACGCGCGGTGACATAAGACAGCGCGAGGTAACAGCGTTGCTAAGCTATACGCAAACACGGTGATGCGGTACCACTTCCTACTGTGACGTGCACACAACAGGCAACAGCGAACAGAATAAAAGCCGGCTGAGCGGTAAGCGTGAGTTAGTTGTAATGTGGCCATCGCCGAGTTCTCAGTTCGCAAGTTACGAGTTACAGACGCGTGTGCGAGAATCAGTGATAGTTCGTGGTAACCAGTTATATTTGGAGTGTGTAATTCAGCGAGACTTGTATAGCTCCCGCGCTATTAATACGTGAAGACTCTTGAAGATAGTGTTAAGAAATTTTGTTGTAGGGTTTGTAAAGTGTGGAAATCCGTAACATTGTTATCATTAATTGTAGCCGATACTTGTAGATTGTTAAATAAACCAGTTAACAATCTCTACGGCGTCTTCAGTTACCCAACACGTTAATATATATAGGCTTATCAGATTTTTCAAAGAAAATGTAAACCTTTATGGATAGATCACAAAGACTGTGTTATTTTCCATGGCGAACCATTTTTACAAGACCTTGAGTAAATCATGCACCAAAATAGTGATTATAAAATTTTGCAGTTTGTGTGAACTATACAGTAGAATATAACAAATGATAGAAATAGCGTTACTAATGTTTTGTTNAATCTCTACGGCGTCTTCAGTTACCCAACACGTTACAATATATAGGCTTATCAGATTTTTCAAAGAAAATGTAAACCTTTATGGATAGATCACAAAGACTGTGTTATTTTCCATGGCGAACCATTTTTACAAGACCTTGAGTAAATCATGCACCAAAATAGTGATTATAAAATTTTGCAGTTTGTGTGAACTATACAGTAGAATATAACAAATGATAGAAATAGCGTTACTAATGTTTTGTTTTCAGGATGAGGAGCATTTGCTGAAGACTAAAAAAATGTTAGAGGAAAGAGGTGAACCAACTCGAGGAATTAAAAAGCAACTTTTTTTGTTATACTGCCGCAACAAGGATCTTGAAAAGGTTGAACAAATAATGAAGGTAATATATTTCTTACAGCTGTTGCTCATTAAAATTCACTGAGAAACTAACTACCTTGTAACAGTCTTTGTTTTTTAGACGGCAGTTATTCAGAACACATTGAATGGGGGGGAGGGAATTCGTTGACCAAGAGAGAGAATATACATGCTAAAGAATGGTAAAGTATGCCGTGCTTGAGAGTAGGTGGCATCACTTCTTAATGTACTATGCAGAAACCTCTGATTACAAGCTTTTAGCTGTTAAATAGTGAAAATTCTGTGTCAGTATTGCAGATAGTTTTTAGTATAGATTTTTAAAGTTCATAATGGTATGTGCACTACCATCAGTTCCCAGGTGAGTAAAGAGTGTGGTACAACTACTAGTACAGGATTTGAAGTGCTAGATGAAGACTTACTATGTACAGAAAAATAAGACGATACTTATACTGGGCTTTGTCTGGGAACAGAAAAGAGTGTTCACTAAATGAGGGTACACCAATAGGATTTCAGTGTAGATGCTTGATGCTTCTTCCTCAGAAATATAATTCTTAAATACAGTTTTAAAAATTTAGGATTGAAAAGTTTCCCCAACCCTGGAAGAAGGAAAGTTTATAGCAGGTTTTGTTTCTGAATGGTTAGCACTATTTTTCCCCCTCTTATCGTTATTTTGTAGATATCAATATGATTATTACCAAGAGACTGGTAAACTGACTGAAAATTTATGATTTTCCGTATTTCCTCGTGGCACATGATGTATTAGCGCATAGGTCACAGTAACTTCCACATTTGTGCAAGTTCATATTTCATAATCTTCCTGCCATTACACTTTATGTAACCTGTGTAGCTGAAAATGTGCCATTAAATAGATCAGAACTCAATCAGTACCTATCTTGCACTGAATTACAGAAGATATGAATGGAATATAAAAATCAGAATAATTTTGTTGGAAAGAAAGTTGTTCCTATGCCTAAGAACTTGGTGGAGGTGAGTGGTCAGCTTCTCACTTCAGCTGCTTTACAAGCAACACATATTGGTTTTATTATAAAAGAATATTTAATAAGTCCTGTCAGATAAGCTGTAGAGTCACACAGCTTTACTTTGCTTCCAGGAATTGGAAGCAGATAATTTTGTGTTTACTGGTGGCATGTATGCACTGCTGTCAGAACTGTATGCTCATCATGATAAACTGGAGGAGGTATGGACCACTATAAAGAAATTAAAGGAGAATGAACCAGACTTTCCAATGGACAGCATGAAGATCATTAAAATTGTTACTTTGTTGGTAAAAAATGACAGAGTACAAGGTAAAGAATATTTGTAGAGTTGATTTCTTGTTTTCTCTCTTACATTTGTAAGATTGTCATCTGGCAGGCTCGAAAGCATAGTTTTGTTTTGCATTCTTAGAATTTCAATAAACATAATCAGATTACACTCCACAGCACATCATCTAATTGTATTTCATCTGGATCGCTCTTTTCTTCATGTGATTTGAAAGTGATAAAAATTTCACAAAGTTTTCAATCATAATATTAATTTATCCATTTTCAGACATCATGGATGCATGGCCAACTTTGTTTTGTTTGTTGTCAAGGCATACATAATCTCAAGATTTTGTTTTATTGTATCACCAGAGAATATTGCATGATTAAACATTCAAAAACTGAACAAAGAACATTCAAAAACTGAACAAAGATAAAGTAAAACACCTGTTTTTAGTGTTTCTTCTCTGAGCAGTGGATTTGAACACTAAACTAAGGAAACTCTTAAATGTAGGTCATTTAACACTGGAATTATTGACTTCGAATTGTTTAAATTTAAGACTAAGTGAGGGGAAAATATTAAATCGAGGAACATGAGGTGGGAGCTCCTCTGTAGTTGCAGCTACTTTTCATATTTGGAGGCAGTTTCCACTGTTCACAACTGAGGATGCTCTGTGGTATCACATACCTCACTTAATATGCTTAACCAAGAAATGAATGATTTAGGAGAGGAAACTTCTGCAACAGTGGAAATATAGTCAAACATAGCACTTATATTGCTTATCAAGAGTTCATTGGATTTAAATAATGCAAAGAAGTCTCATTTCTCTGGTTTCAGATGCAGTGAAATTTCTCAGTGAGCAGTCAGGAGATCGTAAGTTGGAGGACCGATCATTTCAATACAGTACATTGTGCTGGCGACTCCTTAATTCGCTAGCAGAGCAGGGCAAGCAGGATGATCTGAAACAGGTGTTTGATGCACTTGTCAAATATGAGTACATTGAGCCAAACAATGTTTTACTTGGTCCACTGATTAAAGTTCACTTAGTGAGGCAAGTACTTAACAGTGCTTTCTCAGTTTGTGGTGTTAAATTGATTTCTGAATTCACTTATAGCTGTACATGTCTTCAGTATCCATCCTTGTTAACATTATGGTGGCCCTTAGGGCATAGCTATGAATTGTATATAGCCTTTGGCTGTGAAACGTTAGTGGGGTGCATGCAATGAGAATTGCAATATAGGATTGTTTCTTACTGCATTGTTCACAAAGAAAATGTGAGTGTGAACCCAGGCACTGAAAAAATCGTCATGGCAAATTGCATACCATGACAGAAACATAAAACTTGCCCCATAAAGGCATATATCTTGAATAAAAGAAGATAATTTTGTTTGTGGAGTAAATATGTGTTTATATAAAGTTTTACTACAGTAAATAAGGGAAGGAGAGTAATATAGCTGGAAGAAAGACTGGATTAAAATGTTCTATTAAAACAATTTCCTGTAATTATAAATTTGTGTAGTACAGAAAAAAATATATGTCATATTCATCCACTGTCAGAGTGAAAGCCGGACAAGTATATGAAGTCTAAGGTGAAGACTAGTCTTAGGGACATGCTGTTCTCTCATTCACATCTTGTCGTCCTAGATGGTATTTTCCTACTAAGTTTTCAAACCAGAATGTTTAATTACTGCATATAATACACAATTTATGTTCTCTGATTTTTAAACAAATTTGAGAAAAATTGAAATATATTTTTACTTCCAAATTCTTATCAAAAAGACTGCCTCCAGATATGGAGAATAGCTGTGAATATATTGAATAAGCAGTTGCAGACAGCTGACAAGGGGTGATCCTCCAGCTTGGGTGTTGGGCATGGAGCTAACAACACTTCACTATACAAAATAATCTTGTTCACAAGAATCCTTGGACCTGGACAGATTTCTTGGATAAACGACCTAAGCAAAAGAAAATGTGTATGAGATTTGGTACTTGGAATGTACGAAGTTTGTATAGGGACGCTTAGCTCAGGGCAGTGGCAGAAGAAATCTCAAAATATAAGTTAAATTTAGTGGGAGTGCAGGACACCAGAAGGGACGGAGGTGGCACTGAACCAGTGGGCGAATATACATTTTCCTATGGAAATTGAAGTGATAATCATGAATTAGGTACAGGTTTTTTTGTACATAAGAGAATCATATCAGCAGTTAAGAGGGCAGAGTTTGTTAGTGATAGGATGTCATAATACTAAGAGGTTGCTGGTGTGACAAGAGCAAGCTCCAGCAGAATACAAAATTGATCGTATGAAGGACAGGTTGTACGAAATCTAGAACATGTATTCAATAAATTCCCTAATTACCATATGAAAATTTTGTCTGAAGATTTCAATGCCAAAGTAGACACTTTCGAACCAATAATTCAGAATTCGAGTTTGCACGAAATTAGTAATGATAATGGAATTAGAGTTGTAAACTTCGCCACATCCAAAAATATTATTGTTAAAAGTACAATGTTCCCACATCACAACATTCATAAAATTACTTGGACATATCCTGATGGAAAGATGCACAACCAAATTTACCATATTTTGATAGGGTGGAAACAGCATTCAAGTATACTTGATGTCCAGTTGTTCAGGGCAGCAGATTGTGATACTGACCGCTGTCTGCTGGTGGTAAAAGTTAGGGAGAGACTGGCAGTGAGTAAACAACTGATGCACAGTGTTCATATGGAGAAGTTCAATCTCAAGAAATTAAACGAGGTATAGGGTAAAGAGCAGTATCATGTTGAAATCGCAAATAGGTTTGCAGCTTTGGAAAACTTAGACACTGAAGTGGATATTAATAGAGCTTGGGAAACTATTAGAGAATATTAGAGAGAATATCAAAATTTCTGCCAAAGAGAGTGTAGATTATGAATCAAAGAAGCATAAGCCATGGTTCAATGAAGGATGCTCAAAATTGTTAGACCAAAGGAAACGAGCCAAATTGCAATGGTTACAGGATCCAAGCAAAATAAATGGTGATAATCTGAAGAATACAAGACATGAAACCAGCAGGCATTTCATGAATAAAAAGAGAGAATACCTGATAGACAACATTCATGACTTGCAATGAACAGTAAGAACAAAAACATTAGAGACCTGTATAGAGAATGAATGACTTTTTAAGTAGGGTTACAAATCTAGAAGTAACTTTTTTTTTTATGGGTAGTAATAAGGGACTAAGTTCCTTGTACTGCAGCCACTTCTGGCCTATTGTACCAGCCCCAGATGCTAGAGAGGGTGATTGCGGAGCAATTGGTGGAATGAAGATTGTCCGGGGAAACCGAAGTACTCTGACAAAACCTGCCCCAGCGCCACTTTGTCCCCCACGGTGGGGAAGCCAGCAACTAACCACTTGAGCTATGGCATGGCCCATTGTAGAAGTAACTTAATAAAGTATGAGAATGGTGATCTGCTTGCAGATTCCCATGACATTTTGAATAGGTGGAAGAACTACTTCTCTGAGTTATATAATGTACTCGTACATACGATATGTGATGTTAGGCAGATAGAAATACATACAGCTGAGTTGTTAGGATCTGATCCTAGCCCTTTCGAGTTTGAAATTGTTGTTGCAAAGTTCATAAGGTATAAATCACCAGGTAGTGATCAAATTCCAGCAGAACTGATTCAAGCAGGCGGTGAAATATTACGTTCTAAGATCCATAAGCTAATTAACTCTATTTGGAACAGAGTTGGAAGAGGTTACCATTCATAATTAAGTTGTAATGTATTGGTTTTTGCCAGCAAACAAGAAACTGGCTCATTCACCTTTAGTCTGCTCCTCCTCAAGGAGCTTATCTCCAGGTTTGAAGTACCTAGTCTCGTATACGCATGTTGATCCAGTGAACTTCCTCCTTAATGACTCATTGAACACCACATTATGGTGACACCAGAATGAAGTTTGAATCTCAGAGATTGTGTGTGGTGTGCTCATGACAGCGAAGAAGGAAGGAACCAACCTACTGCTGCTTTGATTGTGAAACTGGTTTGTGTTGAAATGGTTGCTTCAAGAGTTGCCACACAGTTCTCAGCTTTTAATTGGATTCCTCATTCTACATATGTATATATATTTTGATACAAATGAGGTAGTATTGTGCTGGTCACGGTAGCCGAGCGGTCTAAGGCATGCACTGTCTTTGCTCGCTTGGAAGCCGGGATCGTGGGTTCGAATCCCACTCAGGGCATGGATGTTTGTGTGCGTTTTTCTGTGTTTGTCTACAGGTAGAGGCCTTGCGACGAGCTGATCACTCGCCCAAGGAGTCCTACCATATGTGTAAGATCT